CTTTTAGTTAGACATTTTAGTTAGAATCTTGGCTAGAAGCTGGTAAAAACTATTTCTAAGCATAATCACGACAGTTAAAACTAAGCAGTTGAAGATAAAACTATGAAAGTGAAAATAAAATTGGTTTAAAAAAGTTGGCAAGTCAGAGATGTCAAAATATCATTTGTGTTAAATAAGAGGTATGATGTGTTATTTTTGTTTTTGATATTGTTTTATTATCACTAGATTTATTACGTAGGGTTCTGTATGTTATATTCATGATTAAATGCAGCAAAATAGACTATTTCAAAGGTAACAGATCTTTGGTTTATTTACATAATAACTAATTGCTGGATGTTCGGCCCCTTATCTGTTGGTCTGCATTAACCGTGGCCCCTGGAGCAGTTTAGTTGAATAGCCCTGGCGTAGGTTATGAGGTGGGCAGCAGTCTAGGTAGGCTACAGCCCCTGATTTGGGACACACTGGGTTCTTACAATGAATCTTTGTAGCACTTCCTGTGGCAGCTACTGTGGATTCAGCAGGACTGGCGCTGTATCTCTGGGGAGAAGCTTCTATTTTCAGTGTTTTTACAAATTTTTCTGAAGCCCAGACATTTTCTGACAAAAACGCTTACAGGATGTCATTCTCTGAGATTTGTCAGCGGATCTTGTCAGAGATGTTCGTTTTGTGCTCACTGGATCCCCAGTTCATGCAGCTGAGGGACTCTGGCTCTGTGGAAACTCTGATCTTTACCAACACACCTCCAAGTTGTCAGCCAGACACGTGTGAGCAATTCAGAGCTGCGCTGCAGGTTTTTCATGATTACACCGTGTGTGCCTCCGCTGGCTGCCTTTTTTAGTGTTTCATTCCAGCACTTGATGTAGCACGCCGCCAGCACTGCTTACAGTAAGAGCTGGCTCTGTGACCGTGTTCCTGTCCGTTTGAGAGATACAGCAGGACTCTGAATCTAAAACAGAAGGCTGAGCTGGCCGTGTGGACCATGTGCAACTTATTTCTGCGTCCGTTTACAAAACCAGTCATAAACACTGATAAGAGCTCATGGAAACAGGTTCTTGAAGTGGAAAGGAAGCCAACCCCCACAACTGAAGTGAAAATCTGAAATGTGTGGTTGTGCATGTGTGTGTGTGTGTGTGTGTGTGTGAGAGAGAGAGAGTAAAGTGGCAAAGGTGAGGTCAGTGAGACGGTGCAAAGTGCACAGCTACTTTAGTCGGTTTATCCTCAGTCTTGTTTGCTGTGAGCGAGTCTAATGATGCAGCCTGTCGCCACCTTTGAAGGATGCCGGTTCATAAAGGAGCGCGACGGTGAGCTGTTTAAACTTCAACCAGAGCTYCAGCAGCAACGGCTCCGAACAAACAAAAACAGCAGGAAAACATCCGAGGAAGGCTCTGTGCAACATCTCTGCTCTTCAGCTCCTTTAAACAAATGTGACGCTGCACTTGTTGTGCACGACGCTGTTTAACATCATCTTAGCTCAGGGATCTGCAACCTGCGCCTCTCACTGGCAGGGCAACAACATGGGAGCAGATCCACCGACAGCTCACACTGAGCATCACTGAAGAAGAATATGGGAGAGTCTCAGATAGGAGGAGCTGGACTGCAGGGCCTGATATGATCCATAMCTACTGGCTAAAGAAACTGAATGTTCACCATTGACCCTACCTAGAGGTAGAAATGAACCAGAACATGGGTCAAAACCTGAGCTGAAGCATGCACTGACACCCCTGTAAGATGCATGATTTATTTGTGTGCTAGTCTAATTCGAATATAACCATGAAGGTGGCATTTCCTTTTTATTAAACACAACAGCACATTTATATTGCAGCTGGAATTGTTGGTGTGATATTCGATGCTATTATTGCTGCTGCATCATTATTAATCTCATGCAGACCCACCACAAACAGACAGGATATGTTCAACAGATACTAATATAATGAAAATAGATTTAAATATCATCATGCTAACAAAAGTTTAGGTCAAGTGTTAAAAAAGGTCGTCCTCCTTTCTGCACATGAAACTAACCAAAAAGCCATAAAAACATTTCTCTGCTGCAACGTTTCTCAGCATCTTTTACTTAAACAAACACCAACAAAATCTGCCTTTTTTTTTTCAGATTTTTGCTGCAACAACAGCCAACACCTCTGAGGTGAGACTAAAACTGGACTCTGACACGCYGAAGCTTTCTGGTTGGTTAACTCATCACATCAGAAGCTTTTTGCTTTTACTGCAGGGAGTCAATAAGCCAAATGGATGGAGATGCTCACCGAAGAGCACCTCGGACATCCTGACGGAGTTAATCAGTAAAGTGCATTAAAGCAGAGACCAACCGGCATCTTTAAAAGTGTTTATTTATTTATTTATTTACTTATTGTTGTTTTTTGTGATTTTTTTGTAAATTTGAAACAGTTAATGAGCTAGTATCAGCTTCAGTTGTTGCACAACCAACTAAAAAAACCTCAGATGACAGAGAACAGAATAAACTCTTCTTCTTATGCAACATTATTCACTTTCCTTAATTCAAATTTCTTCTTCTCTTCAATAGAAGACCATATGCACACATCTTATGTTTTCTCTACAGAAAATGTGACTATTGATAGTCACATAAAATGCATATTATGATGTAATTTCATTTTAAGCAAATAAAATAGTATTTTTTCTTTTTTTTAGCCTCTAGTATACTAAAAGATACAAAAACTCCAAATATCCAAGCATTTATTGTCTAATATTTGACTAATTTAGTCAATTTTTTTGCTAGTTCTTCCTAAATGCTGTAATAAAATAAATAATCAAGATAGTGTAGGGCAGTTTTGTTGGTGTTTAAAATAATTTCCCAGCTCATATTTTAGGACATGCAGGCTGGAGCTTCAAATGCATTAAAAGCCTCCTTTTTTTTAACTCGCTGAGTCATGTTTGTGTTTTAATAAACTGTCTTTTGTTAATGTTTCTGCAGGTTCTGCTTCAGGAACAGACGACCCTCGCTAACAGAAGAGGTGGACGTGTCCTGCAGCTGTCAAACAACATGAAGCTGTTTTCTCCAGCGGAGCTGCAGGCTGAACAGGAAAAAATAAAAGCTGAGTTTGTCTTTCAGTGATTGCAGGAGTCCCACTGAGCCTTTAGACCCCCATGTCTGTCATCAAACACCTTTCTGCTCCTTTTCGTTTTGTTTTCGCTGCGCAACTCATCAAATATCAGATTACAGAAACTACAGTTTCCCAATGTTCAAGTGAAATAAACTGAGAGCAAAAACAGTGTTGAGAACGTTCCAGTTTTCATGAAAATAAAAAGCAGCAGGTTTTCTAAACGTGACAGCTTTTCCAACATAACTTCTCACTCCAGTCACCAGTCTGAYGCTCCTGCCTCGTTTTTACCTTGAATCTCAAATGCAGAATTTTAATCCTCGTTTCTTAGAATCTTTGAAAACAAGCTTACATAATTCTGAAGGAGAAATAAATCTGCAGAAACTTTCACTCAGCTGGTGCTGCTCACGGATTTAACATCACAGAGGACATTTTTTACCTGTTTTGTTGGAAATAAAACTCTTCCCTGTGGTGAAACATAATCACAAGCTGCAGTCATTAAAGTTTAGACTTATTTAAGTTTGTTTTGTTTTTCATCATAATGACTTCAAAGAATTGTTGCATAGATGCAAACTGTACTAAGAAACCCTCTAAATTAAAACAAGAAATAATTTAATCACGACTTTTCTATTAAATAATAGAAAATCTTAATATTTCTTAATATATCTACGCTTTTCAACTGATATTATTTGATTCGCTTCGTTTGGCTTAATGTCAAAAACACTGTACAAAATCCATCTCTAAAATAGATAAATAATAAATAATAAATTAAAATATTAACATCTTCAGTCAAAGCTGGGGTGTTTTTAAAGTCCAGTTCTTTTGCTGCAGACCCATCTTTAGCTGTAACAAGTCAAACCGGTCATGTTTTTCAGCTAAAATGGATGAAAATGACATGAGAATTGTTTTTTCCTCACAGCTGCATCCTGATGCAGCTCAGATAATTAAACAGTATATCCACATTCAATACTATAACAATAATAACCAGTGAGAGGTGTCTGCAGCATTCTGCACTGATGAAGGTGTGGAAACACAGAGTGCGACCTTTATCTCACTGCACCTGYCAACCAAGGAAATAAAGTTGTGGTTTTAGTGTAGTATTTTAATTTCAAACTTGTTTTTATTGTTCTAATAATTTATTTAAATGTCTGAGTATAAGTCTACACACACACACAGCCTCCCATAAGATGAAAGTTTAATTGATTTTTTAAACTACATTAATTTGTTTAATTAGATGCTTTATTTGACATGTAATTCAGACACTAATATATTTAAAAATATAGAATTAAAGTTTATTTTTATCTAGGCCCATTTACACTGACAACTGTCGCTCAAGAAATAATCATTTTTGGGGGGAAAGGGGGGGGGGTTTCTCAGCTAATTAGGGGTGTTCAGTGTTGTTCCAGAGCAATAAAAATAACTATTAGCCAACAGAATTATTTAAAGGGTTCAAAATAATCTTCAAAGATGTGTCC